AGTAGTAAAGAAAGCTTTTAAGCGATTTAAAAGCAGAGAGCTTTGCCTTGAGCGATTCAAGAGAGGCAAACTGACCAGCAGACTGAAGCGATTTAAGAGCTGGCAAGACGAAACTCCTGAGCGATTCAAGAGCCTAGTAGAATCAAGAATAGACAGAAAAATTAAAGCAAAAGCAGTAAAATAATCAACAGATAAGTAAATAATATTACAGAAAAGTATTGGGGGGAAAATTCCCCAGGAATTAAAACCCAAATGGAACGAAACGAGGAATTGGAAATTACTAGTGAGTGAGAACCCCCAATACTTAATATAAACTAGGTAATAATAACTAAAATTGAAGATTGAGGTACAAAGAACAAGTAACAAGCACAAAGTAAAACATGAAATGATTTCAGTTGGACAAGGTAGTATTTTGTGCATTTGAAATAACGGTGGTTATAACTTATATTCAATGCTGATTATTTCTATAATTACAGAACCAATACTGTTCTGGCTTCGATCCATTGCCACCTACTCTGAGTGCACTGGCAAGTCAAAGGGACCCCCTGTCATCCTCATCGGCACGCACACTGATCAGATGGATGGAACAGTGAGTAGTAGTAAATATAGTGTGATACTACAATGTACCTCGACTCATTCACCCCTACATTTTTCAACTGGACTTGCCCAATCTCGGATTTGGTAAGGTTCAAATGTGACTTTAGGGGTGAATTGGTTAACACCTCGCAGTCATGATCAGTAACGGATCTGATAACACTAGGGATTGTCTGATTGAATTTTCATTTGATCGGTTGAAAAAACTGGAAAAAGAACCACGTGTGTAGTGATAATTCTCTATTAACCACTGCAGATTTCCTCAATCTCTACTGAAGCAATGGATAGTTTACTTCTGGAGGCATTCTCATTGGTTAATATATACTACTCACATTTTGCTGAGGATCACCTATATTTTGAAAAAAGAATCAAAATGTTAGAATGCATATTATTTTTACCTTCCGTACCATTTTGGACGAATAGCCTTCCAAATCGTTCTGTGTGGGTGTTCAGTAAACCATAAAAGCGTATGCACGCTTTTTCACATGTACACCCCTTTCAAAATTTAAGCTAGGCTTAGTAAGGCTTTGTTCAAGTTGTTAAGGAAATCACATTGAAGGATATTCTTTGCATGTTTTTGTTTTAATATGGCACAAAGAGGAACCAGACAACGGTTAAATGATGTTGAAATAAATAGGGGCATCGGAACGCTGCAAGCTAGCATGAATCAACGTCAGCTTGCAGCTGACCTTGGGGTGTCTCAAAGTGTGGTGGCAAGAATGTGGAATCGTTTTCAAAGTAACGGAAATCTTCCATACGTCATGCTGGAGGTTGTTCTATGGCTACAATACAGTGCCAAGACCGATTTTTCCTCATACAGGCATTGAGTCACAGGTTCCGGACTGCGACAGCTTTACGAAATGCCTTCCTAAAAGCTACTGGTACCTGGGTAGCCACTCAGACAGTTAGAAACTGTCTTCATCATGCTGGTTTAAGGTCACATAGACCAGCAATACAAGTTCCTTTCACTGCCTGCCATGTTGGGGATGTTAGGCTTGTAACATTGTAGAACATGACCGATATGGCGGAGGTCCAGTCCGTCCGTCATCCATCCGTACGTCAACAATTTCTTTAAACGTCTTCTTCTTCTTAACCACTGATTGGAATTCAACTAATTATATAAATAAATGTGACTGGAAGCATCCCTAGGTGGTGGGGATTGAAAATTGTGCAAATGGTTGGGCTGACCCCCCCAGGGGGCTGAGGGGCAGGGCTAAAAGGGTTATTTGGCTATATTGCTTTAAGCAACTTCTCCACTTGAACAAAGAGATGGATATCAACCATATTTGACTGGAAGTATCCCTAGGTAGTGGAGATTAAAAATTGTACAGATGGTGGGGCTGACCCCAAGGGGGCTGAGGGGCGGGGCAAAAAGGGGGTAATTGGGCTATATTGCTACAAACAACTTCTTCTGTAGAACTCTGTACTGGATATCAATCACATTTGATAAAAAAACATTCATGGAGAGCAGGGATTCAAAATTGTACAAATGGTATGGCTGACCCCCCAGGGGGCTGAGGAGCGGGGCCAAAAGGGTTATTTGGCTATATTGCTTTAAGCGGCTTCTTTTCGTGAACTAAGCGATGAATATCAACCATATTTGACTGGAAGCATCCCTAGGTGGTGGGGATTAAAAATTGTACAAATGGTTGGGATGACCCCCTAGGGGGCTGAGGGGAGGGGCCAAAAGGTTGCAATTTGGCTATATTGCTACAAACAACTTCTGTAGAACTATGCACTGGATATCAATCACATTTGATAAAAAACATTCATGGAGAGCAGGGATTCAAAATTGTACAAATGGTATGGCTTACCCCCCAGGGGGCTGAGGAGCGGGGCCAAAAGGGTTATTTGGCTATATTGCGTTAAGCGGCTTCTTTTCGTGAACTAAGCGATGAATATCAACCATATTTGACTGGAAGCATCCCTAGGTGGTGGGGATTAAAAATTGTACAAATGGTTGGGATGACCCCCTAGGGTGCTGAGGGGAGGGGCCAAAAGGTTGCAATTTGGCTATATTGCTACAAACAACTTCTGTAGAACTATGCACTGGATATCAACTATATTAGACTGGAAGCATCCCTAGGCGGTGGGGATTCATAACTGTATAAATGTTGGGGCTGACCCCCCAGGGGGCTGAGGGGAATGCCAATAGGGGCAATTTGGCTATATTGCTACAAACGACTTCTTCTGTAGAATGATGCCATGGATATCGATCATATTTGGTCAGAAGCATTCATTGGAATGGTGGGCCTGGCCCCCCCCCCCCACCCCCCCATGCTAAGGAGGGGGGCCAAAAAAAGTTTATTACTTGGAAATGGTTGAGATTCCCACGGTATAACCATATATACAATTGTGGAGTATAAAGAGAAGAATGCACATTTGCTTCCAGGATGACCTAGGGAATGACCACACCCTTTGAGACATTGTCTCTGGGTCATAACTTTGAAACGGTTGAGATCCCCACCCCAGAACTGTATAGAACTGTATATACAAATGCTTGGCATAAAGAGACAAAAGTAGTCATTGTATTTGAATAGACCCTGGGGTCTGACTGAACTCCATAGGGACCTAGCTAGTTTCTTAGTCACAGCTTGGAAACAGTTTAGATCCCCAACTTAACCATACATTAAATTGCTGGGGATGAAAAATCTAATACAGACATACTACAAGAATTGGCATTGGGGTCTGGCATATTCCCTTGGATCTTATTTGGAGAATATTTTGCCATGATTGCTTAGAAATCCAGGTGAGCGAAATCCAAATGCTTTGCGATGTCTTATACTTGATATGGTTATTATTGTCGGCGTGATCTCGACAATATTTCCCAGATTGGAATGTTAACTTACTTGTGGGTAAAAAGGTTTTACAGGAAAAAAATGGATGTTATGGGTAAAAGGGTCTAACATTTGATTATAGGCTGTCATGTTTATATTTGTTTTACTTTCGTTACAAATTAATTACATGAATCAACTTTTTTGAGATGATGTATATATGCCCTCCAGTTTAGGAAAAATATCATTCCTGCAAAATAATATATTAAAAAAATAACCAGCTTTGTCCTACTAAATCATATTATTTTATAAGACACAGACAGTACAAATTTATGATTTTTGAAAATTTTCAGATTAATTAAGTTATGTAGTTTGGTTTGTTTGTGTTTTACGTCTAATTAACATATAAACAACTATGGTCATTTAAGGAAGTGCCAGGTTTTGGTGGGCGAGGAAAGCTAGAGTTCCCAGAGAAAACCACAGACCTACGGCCAGTAACTGACAACAGCCCCACGTAGGCCCCGAACCCTAGACCAAGTGTAGGAGCGATAGTGGTTGCAGATTGTCAGACGCCTTAACCACTAGGCCACTGCGGACCCCTTTATGTAGAAAAACTAACGAGAAGTCATAGAGGAACTACTATGTATAATTATTTGTTGATTTAAAATTTGGTTAATTCTTTTTTCAGGAAGAAGAAAAAGAAGTTAAATTTCAAGAAATTTGTGCGAGAATCACTGCTAACGCTGATGTTCAACCAATCAAAAGCCTGATCATGAACTACTTTTGTGTAGACAACAACAAAGAAAATGACGCAAAGTTTGACAACATCCTTGATGCCGTCATCGAAGCTGCCGAATACCAATCACAGTGGAAGATGGATGTCCCAACAAAATGGCTAGCACTTGAGCGTGAAATCATGAAAGTGAAGAAAGACAAGGTCAAAACATTTGAAGAAATTGTTAAGATGGATGGGAAAATGGAGGCACCAATAAAAGATGAAGAGGAAATCCGAATGTTCCTCAGGTAAAACCTTTTGTTAAAGAGTAGTAAAAAATGTAATGCTATTATAAGCTAGGTATGTTCTTAACGCAAGACATTTTTAGGGGCAATGCCACCCTCAGCGAAGGATGTTGCTAATTCTGTAGGAGTAATACCACTCACAGTATAGAGAGGGATGTTGTTTATTCTGTAGGAGTAATGCCACTCACAATACAGTGAGGGATGTTGTTAAATCTGTAGGAGTAATGCCACTCACACTACAGTGAGGGATGTTGCTAATTCTGTAGGAGTAATGCCACTCACAAT